CCACTGTCTGATGCTGGGAATCATGACAACTACTATGGCAGACGACTTTGGACTAGGTGAGTTCTACTAAGTCGCCCTGGCAACAAGACCAAGTTTCGACAACGAGGTCAACCCACTTCTATAGAAGAATGAGTGATTTCAAATTAAAGGATTATTAAAGTTTTGTATAAATAGTCAAGGCAAGCCAAAGTGAAAAACAAAGGAATGCTACTCGAACAAATCCAGCAGCAATAAAGTTGTACAGTTGGCTAACAATTTCTTTCGGAAAAGAATCGGAATCAAATCGCCGGCGTTATAAAAAATGCATGCAGACTAAGATAATAAGTAATCTAGTAAACTTTATGTTATCTCAAATTATGGGATTCATGGGTCTATAAAGTAGTATGAGGGCAAAATGGACATGCTGCTTAGTATTCATCGCATAATCTAGTTTAATCCATACTCAGCAATGTTGCCTCCCCTAAGGACGCAGTAGCTTAACGCTGCCTCAGAATGCATTTCATCTAGAAACTTATCGGAGTTTGGCGCCTGAGAGCCGAATGCCCGATATCATTGCGGTCGTATAGAATTTTGATCGATTATACAAGACCAATCCACTTGCAGACTTGAAAATGCAACAACATCTTAAACAGCGGAAAGATTTGGTTTTAGTTCTGAAGAGATCATCCTAAAGTGTGATTGCCAAGCTGAATTGCATAAAATAGCATTATCAAGTGCCACAAGCTGTGCCTCCGATCTGGAGTAGTGCAATACTATTTTTCATTTGCAATAGACATTCTTCCCCTCAATTTGATCAAAGCTGACAGCATATTTAATTCATCATTTCCAGGATCGGACCATTGACTTAGTATATTCGTGACAAATATGAGAGAATTTTTTTTACAGTTTTACATCTCTGCAGTAAAAGTATAGAGAAACAAATGTCTATCAGCTATTACAATGGTATGGTAGGACCGAATCATATCATTGCCAAAAAGTTCAACTCTCAGTCCTTCATCACCTTATTAGGCTTAAAGTAAATACTTCTCCAACAGGATCAACTACTAGTTTCAAAGCCTGCTCACTACGAATATATATATATTTACTACAGCTTGAGCAGGTACGCGAGACGATTGCAATTAAAACTAAAAACGGACTTTTAGTGCCCCCCTTTAGGACCATCAATTACAAGCTTAATGAGTTCTTGAAAAAGACTCGTAAATCCACTAGTGTAGTAGCAAAAACAAAATGAGATATCCAGGTTGAGCATAATTTAAATTGCCCAGAAGGTTATAATGCCAATTTTGTTTTCATTTAATTTAATACTGGCATCGAATCATTAATATTCTGAAAAGGGATTACCTACATAGTTGTCATGTAAGCTATTCCTAGATAAAAGCTAACTACACATAATTAATATCCCACTGCTATTCAAGTAATAACAACATGCTGGATAAATAAATAATAGTGGATTTTAACTTTCTCTCAAAAAGATAGACATTTCATCAATGCATTAATTCGTCATAGCAGTTGTCTCACCTGCCTGGCAATCGCAGTGGCTGTTCGGTAGTTGTCACCTGTGAGCAGGCCGACTCGTACGCCTCGTGCACGAAGCGCTGACACAGCCAGAGCTGCCTCTGGCTTTACGGGATCAGCCACACTTAGCATACCAACAAGCCAGCCATTTACTGCCACCAGCACAACGGTCTGACCATCTTCCTCATCTCGAGACAGAAAGGCTTCAAGGCTGACTGCCTCCTGCCAGCTGCCACATGTTGCAGGACCACTCGGATCGTCAAGCGAGCAGTCACGCACAGTCGGCCCAGGTGCAGCCGAAAGAACC